CCAGCTGAGGTCCCTCAATCAGGGTGAACTGCAAACGGAACGGGGCCAACAAACCTCAAACGCTGGTGGATCTTCCAACACTTGGATTTACAACCAGCCCAAAACAGCCTCTGTGTTACCTCACTGGTTACTCAGACGTCCAAACAACGCAGTTCCCTTCAAGTGCCCAGCCTCACGCCTCCATCCAGACACACACGTCAGATCTGATGATGATTACTGAAAATCTGATCTCATCATGTAAAAGAAAAGGTTCTTCCAATCCCAAAGGGTCATCCACACACCCAGGTCCAATTAGAACTTAGATCTTACCCAAAATACACGCTATAGTCAATTCTTGTTAACTAAACTAGAATGTATTTGAAAAGAAAAGAGAGAGAGTGTTGGTTAAAAGATCAATATACAGACAGACTTGAATTCAATTCTTGAGGTTCAGATGCATAGCAGAGGTGAGCTTGTAGTTGCCAAAAGTCCTATTAGAAATAGTCCATAGGTTATAGTCCAATGTCCATGCTCAGGGTGACTCCAGTCAGCGACTGGGGATCTCAATCCTTATGGCTTAAGGTTTCCCCCTCTTGAAACCCAAAGCAGATCTGAGATGAAGGATCGAGTCCCAAGGTTTTTATACATTTCCTGCAGCTTTTTGGCCTGAGAAAACAATAGGCCTAACTCTCCTTCTTCCAAACATCCTGGCAATTAGCACAGGGTAATTTATCCATTAAACAGTTCAGCTACAGGTTACCACAACCTTCGAAGAGACATAGCGACAATAATACTATTTCACTCAAGTGTCTTCCTAAATATTAAGTATCAGAGGGGGAGCCGTGTTAGTCTGGATCTGTAAAAAGCAACAAAGAGTCCTGTGGCATCTTAAAGACTAACAGACGTATTGGAGCATTTTTCCTAAATGTTAATATTCCTTTTTTTGATCTTTGAATTAGGGTTACCATACGTCCAGATTTTCCCGGACATGTCCGGCTTTTGGGGGCTCAAATCCCCGTCCG